TCCTCCTCCTCCTCCTCCTCCCCCGCCTCCTCCTCCTCCTCATCATCCTCCTCCTCCTCCTTTTCCCCTTTCCTCCTCCTCTAACTACAGGAGCGGGGACGTTGGCGAGATCACGGACATCGTCACGGAGCCGGACGGCGAAGAGAGGGCCATGATCCATTGGCAGCGGACCAACCACCGGAGCGCCGCGGAGCTCTCTGCACTGGGGAAGAGATTCGCGCGGGTGCGGGAGGATCGGGACGATCGACATGGGTACTGAAAGAATGGGCACGATGCCCAGCAGCGGTTCCTGTTCATGTTGAACAGGGGTCGCTGTCCGCGCCGCTGCGGCCTGTGTCCATTGGAGACAGAAGACCGCCTGCCCAACAGCGGCCGCAGCCGGTTTGGGACAGCATTCGCTGTTGGGCATTGTGCCCATTGTTTCCGTACCCATTTCGGGGGTCCAAAGAGGAGGTGGGCGCTGTCCCGATGCTGGTCGGGTCGACCACCTCGGGCTACCTGTTCGCTCTGGCGCTCGACAGTGGCGAGGAGCTTTGGGCCATCAAGGCATCCGACGAGATCGCAGGCGTGAAGGGAGCCGTCTCCGGCAAGAACGGCATCGTAGTGGCTGCCACCAAGCGTTGCACCGATCGGTACTGCTACAAGTACCGGAATCAGACCAACCCTTTTGTCCCTGGGAATCAGGTGATTTTGGGCCTGATCGCCGCAGACGGAAGCGCGGCCTGGCAGTTCAAGCCGCAGTCGCCAGTCTGGAATTTTGTGCCCCAGTATGGCAAGGACAACGACACCCTCATGTTCAACGATTTTGAGGGCACCACGTACTGTTTGGACCTCTTAACGGGTGCCCTTTTGTGGCAGCACGACGGTTCCATGGGCACGTATACCCAGGCGAACGCAGTGTATTGGCCGACTGGGAATATGATCTTCGCGGTGGGCGTAGCAGAGTACGATCACAGGTTTTGCAACCCGTTCCCGGCCCCTGGCATCCTCCCCCATTGCGGCACCTGGCCCGGGTCCCCGGGATGGGTCCGCGCACTCAATGCGACCTCCGGGCGGCTGAAGTGGGAGTCCGACACCCCGGAGCCGCCGGCGAGTGCTGGCGTGGGCATGATGCACCAGCCGAAGCACACGCGGCTCATCCTCACCATGGGGCACAATTGTTGGCACAACTCGCCTTCCCAGATCTGGGCCTTCGACCCACAGAACGGGGCCTTCCGTTGGTCGAGAATCGGCCCGACGCTGTGGAGCAACCACTGCGCGGGGGACCTCGAGGGCGGCGACATCCGCAGGGCCATGGGCGGCCGCGCGACTTGCTCGCCGGGCGCGTGGTCGGCGCCAGCGATCGACGCCTTCGGCGACCTTTACATCGGCAGCCAGGTCGGGGAGCTTCAGAGGTGGGGCTCGCTGGACGGCAGCACGGGAGCCCGTGGCATCACGCTGCTCTCCACGCTGACCACGGGAGTGGCCTTCCAGGACCAGGCCATCTCGTTCGCCCCTGGCCTCATGGCCGTAGCCACCTGCACCTCCCTCGTCGTCTTCCAGACGAGCGACGGCGAGCCCAGCATCCCCTCCGACGTGGATCTCGGGTCCGGCGCGGAGTATTGAGCTGGGATAAGCCTGTGGATGCCTCGGTCGTTCGATCTCGCTCCTTTGCCTCGGGCTCTGCTTAGACCCTACACGCCGGTCGTTGGAAGCAGGTTGTTCGGGGTCCCCGGATCCCAACCTACTTCAAGCGCCTTCCTACTTCAAGAATCGATATGCGTTTGCTGTGTTTAGTTCTTCTCTGGGAGGGCCTGAGCCCCATCTACTTGATCCGCCTTCCTACGTCATGCTTTCACCTACGTCTTCCGACCGTCGTGTACCTCCTATGCCTCTCACCTGTCAGTTCAAGTCTGCCCACTGGTCGCAGATTGTGCGCGGTGGTGCTGGTCGAGCCGAAAGTGAGCAGGTTTCTTTGGGCGAGTCTGCTGCTCTGCTGTGGTCCCTGGTTTGCATGTTCAGCGGACTGATGATTGATCTGGTTCGGATGCACACCACCGTTGGCGTCGTCGTTAAAAAATGAACACTACACCTCCTAATTAGATGTGACACGAGGGTCACGAAGGTCAGAGAAGCAAGAGTGCATGAAGGTCAGAGGAGGAAGATGTACCGATACCTCTACCCTTCGCCCGTCTTCCCCTTTTCGGGCCTCCTGGGAGGCCCTCGTCGCCACGGCTGGCCCGACGAGGGAGCCTTTGGGGCCCGACAAGTGCATCTTTCTCCCCCTTCCCCATCTTTCACCCTCCTATGAAGCCACGCCCAAAGCTGAAGTTAGACGGCCGTCGAAGAAGAACCTATTGCATAGCCCTAAATTGTTGGAGTTCCCCCTCGGATCACTTGGATCCGCGCTGGGCCCCGATGGCGGCACCTCCGGCGCCTCCGTGTCGCGCTCCGCGCGGACCTCCAAACGCTTTCGTTGATGCAGTTGTTTTGATTGCGTTTCTCTGCAGATGGGGTCGGAGTATGAGGTCGGAGCATTGCGCCGCATCGTCGATGCGGCGTTATGTGGACCTCGATGTTCTTCACGCCGAATTCGCCGATACATCGCCGACGCATCGCCGATGCAGTGGTGATGTATCGACGATGCGGCGCGATCCTCCGACCCCATCTACTCCGACCCCATCTGGGAGGCCTCTGTCTCCGTCGCGCGGCCGAGGGAGAGCAAGGAGGCAGACGAGACAGAGGAGGCAGAGGGAGAGACGCCGACTACACTTCAGGCTTATGCTCAGGGCCAGCAACAGGCGAGGACCTCGTGCGAGGGGGATCGGCTTGGAGGTTGTAAAGAGGTCCCGCAAGATCGGGGTGGTGGTGGTGGGGAAAATCGCACGCACACAAATCATACGAAGGAACCAGAGCAGCCACCAAAGAGGCTGGCGGGAACTGCACGTCCTGCGAACGCGGACGGATCGGGCCGCCGGAGAGGTTGGTGGGCACAACGTGCACTGTGAAAGCGGAGATATCGGGCCCGGGTACGCCAACGCAGATCTTCTCAACCAAGCCCAACTGTGGTTATTGTTTTGTTGGTGTGCCCTGGAAGCCGCGGGGGCTTCCAGGGCCGTCGTGAGGTGTGTCTTGGGGGGCTCTCTGGAGCCGTCTTGAGTCCCTGGTGGGCTGGTCTTGGGACCGGGGCCGTGCGCGGTGTTCGCAAGCCAGACAAACAAGACCACCAAAAGTCACCCCACATCTACAGAAAATCAATGATGAGGCCCTCTGGGTGTTCGCGGGGGAGGTAGTTGGGGAACCTTTTGGAGCCAGATGGTGGGAGGAGAGAGGAGCAAGGAGGAGAAGGAATGAGTCGGCGGAGGAGGAGGCGGGCAAATAGGATTCCTGCCATCACGTAACCGATAATAGAAGCGTGCCTCACCTGACTTCCACGCGCTGCAAGAGAAGGCCGAGAAGACGAAGAAGCTGGAGCTGGACGGAACACGCGGAAGCTAGCCTGCCTACCTCCACAAATGACAAAGGTTGTTGTCTCTCTCTCTCTCTCTTTATTTCTTTCTTTTTTTTCTATTTCTCTCTCTCTCTCTCTCTCTCCGAGGAGGAAGAGGAGGAGGAGAAGGAGGAGGAGGAGGAGGAGGAGGAGAGGAGGAAAGGGAGAAGGAGGAGGAGACGGAGGAGGAGAAGGAGGAGGACAGCCCCAGTCGATCCGGCAAGTGCGCCCAACGCCACCGCAAAGGGCACCGACCGCGGCCGTGCAGCCCCGCGGCCGTGCGGGCTCGCGGCCGTGCGCTCGCGTGCGCGCCCGCGGCTCGCGCGGCCCCGCCCGAGGCAGGCGCTGGGCGCTGCGGCGGTCGGCGGCATCGCGAGCGCGGCGGTGCTGCAGCGGATGCCGTACGTGCCAGCGGCGCTGGTCGCCGCCCTCGGCCGGGCCCGAGGGGCACGATGGGGGGGAGGAGGTGGCCCCCTCCCTGCCTCCCTCTCCTCCCCTCCCCTCCCTCCCTCCCCTCCTCCTCCCCCTCCCCCTCCTCCTCATCCTCCTCCTCCTCCTCCTCCTCCTCCTCCTCCTCCTCCTCCTCCCCTCCTCCTCCTCCTCCTCTTCCTCGTCCCTCGTCTTCCTCCTAGTTACTCCTTCTCTCCTCCTCCTCCCGCCCTCCCCCTCCCTCCCTTCCCTTCCCTGCCCTTCCCTTCCCTCCCTCCCTCCCTCCCTCCCTCCTCCTCCCCCTCCTCCGCCTCCTCCTCCTCCTTCTCCTTTTCCTCCTCCTCCTGCTCCTTCATTCCTTTTCCTTTTAGATGATTCCACCCTGTCTCACCCCGAGGATAGTCGAAAGGGTGGGCCGGGCGTTTCGCTTGTGTCTTCTCTACCACTTATGATTCTGAAGATTGAAAATTTGCAACCGTTTCGCGGATGGAGAGCGGCTGGTTTTGAAAATGTGGTTTTCGTTTGGGCGGCGCACGCACTCGTCTTCAAAAATACAAGGGCTTCAAGGATCGAGGGCGGGTCGCTTTCAAAATGTATGGATCTCGCTTTAGCGCTGCGCACATTCGCTTCTTTTTGTGAGTTGCAAGAGCTTCACGGATTGAGGGCGGCTCCTTTTCAAAATATGGTTCTCGCCCGAGCTCCGCGCACGTTCGTTTCACTATGGAACGGTTCAGGACTGTTCGTGCGTTGCCGCTGCGCTGATTCGTTGTGTCGAAGTCTCAGGGGTGATATTAAGGCACGATTCAGGATCGTCACGGCGCAACAGTCAGGTTGATTCGTTGCGTTGAAGTTTCGGCAGTGATGTTTTGGCATGCTGATCTCCTAACGGTTGTTTCCCAACGGGGCATTCCCCTCATTGCACATGAATATTTGCAGGATGCGCATCACTCATATGTCATTTGGCTCATTTTGAAATTCATGGTGCAATGTTATTGACTGCGCGAGGGAAGGGGACGAGCTTTCACCAAACCTCATGCCAAATCACGTGTGGAAAAGGGGCCGCGCAGTGACGGGTGACGACGCCGAAGACAAGACCAGTTTCCAGGATTTGCGCCATAGTTTTGCGCAGCAGGCAGGCGTATTGATTTGGAGATGTGCGTGTTGCTACTGCAAGAAAGGAGCGCGAGTAGATCGCGCCCGTCGGCAATTAACGCAAAAAGTGTGCCTCGCTCGATCGCAGTTAAGGCTGCGAGGGTTTCGACAGCTGGGGTGTATCGTCCTGCTGTTGTCCATTCGGGCGGGGCACTGCCCAGGAGACCCTCGGGGTTGCAGCGTTTGCCGCTTCGTCTTCTCCCCTTCCCAGGCAAAGGGGGATCCGCGGGGACTGGGAAGGCACTGGGCCCCTGGATGATCCTCAGAGGTTTGGGTATAAGAGCGAGGGCGGTGCTACCCACAGGAGGGGCGCCGGGCGCGGCCTGCTGGAGGTGGTCGCCCGCGCGTGTCGTTCGGCCGCGCGTCACCTTGCTTCCTCCACCGTAGGCGGACTCAGGATGCTGAGCATCTGGCTCAGGCGATGGAAGCTGCGCGGTCCGATCCTGTTGCCCGCAACCACGCGCCTGATCGCGGCTTTGTCAGGGACCGTGTCGGTCCAGATTTTCAACCAGATGCGAAAAGGAGGCGGACCGGTCGGAATGATCGACCCCTCCTGCCTGACACCACGATCCCGCTGGCACGCGCCCCTGAGAGTGTGACTGTTCCAGCTGAAGCGGCGCGTGGTAATCGATGTTGGGTTGTTTGTCCAGGCCATGCGATATCATGTGTGCTTTGTCGTCTTTCCTATACAGGATCGGACGGCCAGTTGCTAGTCGATTGCCAAGCTGATGGGGGCAGGGCATGTGTCCAAGCGAGCCGCTCGCAACAGGCGTCTATTTTTGGATTCCCAGCATCCAGCTGATGAGTGGCGGGCCGAACGCCGCCGCATCCGTGCCCCGAGGCCTCTCCCGGCCACCGTCTCTGAGGTCCTCCAGCTCAGGTCGTGGAGGATCGACGGTGGCTCGGTTCGCTTTACGTTTCGGCCCTGGGGCCTAAATTCGTCGCGCTCTGGTTCAACGGCGACGGCCGCGGGATGGGCGGGGGCGGGAGAGGCGCGCGCGCCCCGCCCCAGCGCTCTCACCAAGTTCGGCGCAGGCGCGCTGCCCGCCGCCGCTGCCCGCTGCCGCCGCCGTCGTCGGCGTCCCTTCCTGGTCGCCCCGTGATTCTCTCGGTGGGGGGTGGCCTCATTCCGCGGGTTGGGAGGTGAGGCTGACCTCGTATCCCCTCGTCCACGCCGGCCGTCGCGCGGGATCGGCGCGGCCGCTCCACAGCGCCGTACCCTCTTCCTCCTCCTCCTCCTCCTCCTCCTCCTCCTCCTCCTCCTCCTCCTCCTCCTCCTCCTCCTGCTCTTCTCTCCCTCGCCCCTTTCCGTCCCTCCAGATGGTGGGCGGGGGGAAGGGGGAGACGCGGGGCAGCGTTAGGGCGGGAATGCGCTCGAAGCTTCGAGGTTCACGGTTTTTCTGTCGCTTCCGTCGCTTCTCAGCAGGTTGTCCAGCCCGGCGGTGCAGGGGCAACGTTAGGGCGGGGATACGTTCGAGGCGTCGAGTTTGTTGTTACGTTTTCGTTGCTTGCCGGCGGTTTTCCAGCCTCGCGGTGCCTTCTGGCGGCCGCGCCTCGCCGAGGACGTTCCCGGGGTGCCTGGATCGCCCCGTGCGGCCGCCAGAGAAACAAAATTCGGCCCGACATGAGAGGGAGAGAGAGAGAGAGAGAAAGAGAGAGAAGGTGAGGAACGGGAGAGAAGCAAGTAGAGGCCCAGGCCTCCCAGGTGAGGTCCGAGTATGCGGGGTCGGAGGGTCGCGCCGCATCGCCACTGCATCGGCAACGCGGCGCGATGTGGATTCCGACTTTCTCCTCGCCGGCATCGCCGATGCATCGGCGAGGGGAAAATCGGACCCTCCTTGGGAGGCCACTAGAAGGTCAGGGGTAACGTTGCCGATAGAGACCTGATGGCCCGCCTCGCCCTTGATCTTGCGGATCCGCAATCGTGGGACAATCGCCGATCTATTGACGACGCATCGCCGATTCCAGGTCAATGTCCCCCCCCTGAGCCAGTCCACCCCGAAC